CCACTTGCCTACCGAGACAATTTCATAGTATTTTTTCAGACAACCATACACATTCAGACCAGCGAACATGATCATATCACATTGGCCAGTGAGAATTATAATAATAATATCTTCTGATAATGTAATAGTCAAAAAGCAGTGGCGACGATAAGAGCATGCAGGGCCCCCCCCCCCCCTGCAAGTTAGTTCACCCCCATTCTGGGGCCCAGTTGGGGCCCCCTTCTCCCAATAATATTTGAACACATAATCACATGTATATCCGCCTAAACTTGCACTTTTGTTTTTCACAGCGTCTCCCGGAGGAGTCATCATCGTCTTCCATGATCGCGGAAAAATCGTTAACACTTCCTGTATTCATGGAAGAAACATTATCATAGTCTACCAAGATTGCAACCAAACCTAGGACATAATGTATAATTAAAATCAATGATTACATTATTTTGACGAACTTCCCACACAATCATTTAGTCTAGAAAACAGCTGTTTGCCGCCAGCTTATTCAAATGGGGTTTCATTACGTACTACTGTACTGTAATGAGTTTTACCGGACATCAATCAGCTGATTATACTGTATTTAGGTGGCAATGAATGGTTATAAACAAAAACATAACCTCGCTTAGAGGTTATGACTAGTGATTTTTAGTCCTTTAGTTGGTGGAAATATATAAGGATTTGTACAGATTTAGTAGGATGGCGTAAACTATCGTACGTGTCTCGTCCAAAATGTGTGTACCGGACTCGTATGGTAATCCAGTACTCGACTTCGTCTCGCACGGGAACTACCACACTCGTCCGGTAAACACCTATTTTCAGGACTAGTAACGTAATATACTATATCAGTACAGTTCACCTTTGTACTGTACCGGCTCACCCCTTGCTTTGCTGGATACGTTCACGCACGTGCAGTTAGTCTGTGGTCGGGCAAATGCAAGGTTAAAAGAGGCCGCCAACATAAAAATATATATATATATCATCAGATAACAACATCATCTTTTCCCGTGTTCGCGACCCAATCCCCAATATCTCCTGCAACCCGTGGTGAAGTTAAAATAATTTTTTCCACAATTGCGGCAAAATCCTAGATATATCTCCTGCGGAAAAAGAAACGTTATTATCGTCCCCCAAATCGAGGCAAAATATTGAACATCTCCCACGGCCGCGGAGACATTGTCATCGTCACCTGCGGCAAAATGTACTTGTCGATATTACCGATCTCGGCAAAAGCGTAATCTTTCAATCTCGTGAGCGTGATCCTCGCAGACATAAAAGCTTTTACTTTTTCAATACTTTTTAATTGGGCATTATTGTACGGTATTGAGTACTGAAAAAATCGGCTTGAGCTTGATTTTCTGACTTTGTGCTAGATCTCTCAAGCTTGTAGGGCATGCTCTGCTCGGCTCGAAAATCAATATTATATATTAAAAATCACCAGTTTCCAATGCAAACCCATTTTGAACTGACCTAATTTTGGCCCGAGGCCCATAGGTAAGTAACATTTTTTACCTGACTCGAAGTAAACAAACCTAGTGTGCAGCTTCCTAATAGTATGAAATTAAATTAAATGAAAATCCTTCTTTAGTATCAATAAAAGAATGCAATTACTTATTATCAGCCAGTGTCCTTGTCATCTAGGTTAATTCGCCCATTTGATCGTAAAAAATTATCAAGTTCATTTAGTTGAATCAGCTTAGAGGGCCCTCTCTGATGTGACCCACTAGGGGCCACATTGGTTCTAAATACGGCTCAATTATAGCGCCTTCACGCAGTCCACGAGGACAGTTGATGCAACCCACATGACTGTTGACAAATTTTGATGACAGGTTTGTAGTGAATTTCTATCGATCGGTCAAGTAGTGTCAGGTTAGCTGTTGTAAACTACTTGTCCTAGTGCCCTTACTGGTTTTTAACCAATTTTTGTCATTAAAAACATGTGGTGATTCTCATAAAAATATTGTTATGATATGGGGCCCATGTGGCACTGCCTGTCGCACAGTCACAAGTCCGGGTCCCGGTAAAATTTCCTGAAAAATCCCGGTCTAGGCTTGCGGGCCCCCCTGCACCGCCACTGTCAATCACTGTATCGCCGCCTGACTCTATTTATGAGTTTTGCAGAAAGAGTAAGAATAAGAAGGTTGGATTTCCTGTTAGGACACTCATAAACGTGTTGAGTCTGTGAGAGTGCTTGGAGCTTCTCTCAGGCTGCAGTAATTAACATATCCAATGAGCAACAACTACTTCTCATTACCAATCACCATGAAAAGCTTTACACTAATTTGGTAATAATGAATTGTCAATTAATTTGTAGAACCATCACATAAAATATCAATGTTCATTTTCTCAAAAAATGATATGCTTAGTTATTAATCAATAATTATATCCTACTTATATAAATTGAATTAGGTTGAATTAGCCCCAGTAGTGTAGCTCCTGTTATGTAAGGAAAGGTCCAATATTTCAATTTTGAAGTATAGTGAGTTAGAAAGAATAATATTAGAAATAAATTATTCCTTTTGATCTTACATTTTATGATAGCAACAATACAAAACAGTGTATAGCCTAACTCCGTAATTTTTTTGAAACTTTGCTTTACATAAAGTCTAAATGCAGCCAGTCAGCTTTAATAGTTTCAGTCTGCATGGCCCAGGAAGTGCTTACAGTCACAAAATAAAAATATTATTGACACCGTGGTAGTCTGTGGATTGTTTTTAATTTTCCACCTATTTTTTTCCATTTCTGATGGTTACAATGAATACAATGATTTCGTGTTAGTGGCATTAATAGGATTTTAGTTTATTTTTAACAATGCATATTTTATAGTATTGTGCAAACTTATTAAACATACACTTCACTTCCCAATTTGTAAAATAAAATACAACTTAATTGATCAAGATTACCAGCTATTTCTCCAGGATTGAATCTTGTATATGTGTGCACATAAAAGGGTAGTGACTTAATCAACATTTGCTTTTAATGTGATATTAAAAGCAAATGTTGATTGAGATATAGATATAAATTAGGTACCTAGGTCTCCCCACGATGACTACTGTGCCAGAAGGGAAATTTGCTAAAAATACAAAACAACCTTCAGGGCCAAAACCAGTTTGGTTGTGAGAATAGTCTGCAGCTTTCTATAATATAAGAAGCAGCTTGCATAGTGTTTAAGGCTCCTCACACATTCTTCATCCAACACCAACAATTATATTTCATTTGTACTTGGCTTCTGTATGAAGCTGCTGTAAAGTTGAAGCCAGTTGGACACACAGCAATCAATTTAACATTACTTTTACAGATAAGCTTGAACTATCAGTAAAGCTACTACGTTAAGAGAACAAAATAGTGGAATATGCTGCTCCATTCAGAAACAAAGACTTCTCTTTTGAAAACTCACTCTTTTGTGCTTACTAGTTAGAAATTAAAAAGAGTTCAAACAATCAAATAATTAATGGTCTAAAAAGATTTATTGAGATGAGACGTAACAAGATCTATATCAAGAATATAACAGATCTTAAGAGTTAAAGAAATGAGATAAGTGATTTGCAAATGTATTAATGATAATGAATATAGAATTTACTGTATGATCAATGGATATTACAGAAGAAAAGTGCCATTATATCATCAACATTTCATTGAGCCGGTGCATGTAGAAATGCCCAACTGAGCCATGTCACTGTCTGCTGGCTGGGCCGAGTGAAACTAAAGCCCTTAAAACTACGCTAGTGCTCTAAGGTGCCCTTCAACAAATTACTTAAGGACCAGAGGGCTAGCAGCTCAGTTACCACACAAAATTTAAAAATGTCCAGAAATGAGGTCGCTTCTGAAGCGACGATTTGCTCTTCTGCTGTTTATTTCTAACGCTATTCCTCAGTTTGAATATATTTTTTACTTTTGGGTCTTATTTGATAGTACTTGGCAATTAGTATAAATTTTGATTGAAGGGGTTTAGATTTTAACCTATGTGCTAATCTCAAAACTCTTTTTGCGAAGCTTATTTCACACAGATCATTTTGCTCTACCAGACTCCAGCTGTGTTTAGATTCAATCTTTTAAAATACAATGTTGTAGTAGTTTTAAAATCTCTTTGAAGTCAAAGCTAAATATAGAGTTTCCTGGAATACAACAATGCTATGACCACGGGAAGTGTGTATTTTTTAGGTTACTAGTTTTAAATGCATTTGTTTTTAGGTTATTTGAGGGATTGAAAACTGATTAGTGAAAAATAAATTTTAAAGACATTTCAGGATCTAGAATCTGATCCCGCCCTTCCTTGTGAAAGTACCTAAATTATAACAAGATGAGTACAAAAACTCAGCCAAAGCTAAAAAATCCCAAAAGGGAATGTCCACACTATTTCTCAAATAACGCAAACTTACAACAAAATTGTTTTTATTGGTCTATTGTATTTGTCTGTTAGCTTTTTTGATTCACTAACCCAACTTTTGAAGCCAATATGACAAACTTAAGCACAAACTTCAATTTTTAAGAAGTTTGATTAAACTTTAACTGAACAGTCAAATTCTTTTGGTAAAAATTCATTGTATTAGCAACTGTGATATAAACTTTTTCATATTTACAATACCTGTCAGCAGTTCCTATTGTACAAAATTTTGATAAAAAAAGTTGTAGTTCTTAAAAATTAACGGAGGATACCAACATGTTTCTTTGAGATGTAATTTTAAACACCTCAGCCAGAATGTTGAATCGGCTTGAGTAGCTTCGTTGATTGTTCAATTGTAGGACACATGCACTTAGCACACAACAGTTTAATAATGTTAACGCAATAGCCTTTCATGGAAAATTGAACTCATTGAACAGCCTGTTTCTGCTTGTCGACATGATAGTGTTTTCCTGTGATAGACATATTGTGCTAATATTATTAATCTCTTTGTCGTACATGCCATCTGTCAAGTGTATTTGTAACCATAACAAGGCTACTCTAGCAGATTTAACCCCGATTGAGAGGTTATGTTTCCCAGTGTCACTGATAGTTGTGTGTTCCCCAGGCTGGCGGAGGGGCCCGTGTAGCTGACACACGCTCCAGACTCAAGTCCTTGTCTCTACTAGACCCCGACTGTGACATCAAGTTAGTGGATCTCACGGAGCAGGACTACGATGTCAACGCCCCCACAGGAGTCTTGCTGCATGGCTCCGAGATACTTACTGCTCTGGATATACCCATGTAAACTTCATCCGAGCTTATCTAGTTTATATTCCTGTTTTGTTCAGTTGTGAAAATGTATTCACTTGTGTTCAAAATATATTAGTGAAATGGTGAGAGAGAAGTTATGCTTTTATAATAAAATATTGAAATTATGTAAAACAGTTGAACGAAACAGAAGCTACATGTAAAACATGGAGGCTTTTTTATTTTTAGGCAGTTTTTCACCCAAGAGGGTATCGAATTGTATACAGAGAAAACTGTGTTTTGATTCAAATTAATTAATATTTTCAACTTAGTTGGCACTTTTACTTCAGTTAACCTAATGATCCAGAATATGATCTACTACATGACCAATATACACAACCAAAACATTATTTTAATTGTCAGTACCGGTAACTTGTAGTGATATCTCATATGCATTTATGTATCAATGTGTTATATATTTCTACAATATGTATTGAATAATTTCCCCCCTTTGTTTGCATTTTGACATAAACATTCCACCGATTCCTTACAGCATTCCAGATTCATTGAATTTCATTTATCTGCATCTTTAAGAAAGTATAATGTAGGTATACAAATCTTGTGTTGATGCCAATCATCAACAACTAACTAATGCTTAGCTAAGAATAATGGGATTATTCAATAGTTAATTGTAATCTACTTGGAAATAAACAGTATCAGAAATCTGACACACACTTTCTCCCATTAGCTTGTCAACAACTCTAACCATGGGTAAGGGAACTATGACATACAGACACATACACACACACTCATACATTACTTTGAAAACCACTTTTTTGGGTTCAGGGTGACCAAACCGATATATCCAACCAAAGCTCACAGTTAAAAATGTTAAAAAATCAATACCGGTACTTTATCTATATACTATGTAAGTCAGGCTGTAGCGGGGGAAATAAAATTACTAATACAGTACGTACTTGAATCAGCACAACAATTTTCAGATGAAAATCAAGAGACTGCTGCTCGATTTCTAAAGAATTTAATAGTTTCAAAGCAAAAATTTGAATAATTATTAGACTTCATTCATGCGGCCTACTTTACTTATTAAATAGAAATATTATTATTATTTGCTAAGATCATCAGGTTAACTAATGTAAAACTGTTTGGAACTCTTAGTGCACAATGTGAAAATAATAAAACAATTAAACAATAGTTAAACTTATTGTACATAGAGACCTGTATAATGTAAATAGAAATGCATTCCACTTTTTTCAGTCTGACTTCATCAACTTTTAGTAGTTTATTTGTTTTTTTTTTTTATGTACAGTATAATTGTTTTGTGCCAAAACTCACATTCATTTGTATACGGTAGCATATGCTCTCTTTTCACTCTTGCATTTTCTCATCTGCATCAAAAAAAGCTCATCACAGGGTCATATAAAATTTACTTTACTTTTATATTTCTTGTCGCTTGATAAGTGGATTTTATTTAGTAAAATTTAGTTATCTTAGCTTCACTATTGTTAAATATATAGGTTTTGTGTATAGCATTTCTTGTATAAAGCTTTTATTTACTAACAATGTCCAAATACTTTAGAATATATTTTATAGACAGACAATTTAAAATACCAATTTATTAATTTAACATGAATATTATATTATATAAAGTATATGTTTGTTATGATAGTTTTGTGATCGTTTTTCCTGATATCATATGGACCACAGTCTCTACCTTTCAACAAATTTTTGCAGAAGGTTTTTTTGTATTTGTTTGAATTTTGTTAAAGATGGAAATATTTTACACAGAAAGAGTTTGCTCTTTAGGTGTGCATATTTTGTAAAAATAATATAGACAGATTGTTACTCCATTCATGGCTCTATTTTCAATACTGTGACAGTAATATAGCAGGTTCAATATCGATGTCTCTACAATCAAACACTTGACTGGGGCTCTGGTATAACAAATCAGTGTAATAAAAATACTGTCTACAACCTAATTCCTCTGAAATTTACTTTTCCCTTTTTAATTTTGGATTACTGTACATATGCTGTCCTTACAATTTTATGTTTTTAAACTGTGTTAAGTGTTTGTAGATATTAGGTACAGAGTTTATAAAAGTCATATAATATATTCTTTGATCCCTTAGCTTATCTCTCTCTGCATTTGTGTGTTAAATATTTTATATTGTTTTGCTTATTTTTTTTAGTTTTAAGTATTCAATTTTAGAAGTATTTAAACCAAACAGAACTGTGTGATTTCTATGTAATCAGATTTTACAAAGTTCTCATAAATGTCAAATATCTGGCTGGTGTAATCAATTAATATCATTTTAGCCAATCACAATTTCTCAACAGATTCAGAATCCATTTGCTGGTCAGTGTTTTTATAGGATTTGTCTACATGTATGGTTATGTCTTACGTTTTTATTTTGCATTGACCTGTCAGTTCAGTTATACAATAACTACTATTGATATTTGCTGATGTACCATTTTTAGCAGTTTTAATTTGGATTGTAAAAAGAAGAATTTTAATCTTACTTAATAAGTTACCGAACTATGCCCCAGTCAAACTTAACTGTTATTACACATGTGTATGTAAATATCATTTGTCTATAGATTTTATTTTAGTGTAATAATCTAACTCAATGTAGAGGATTTAATAAGGGTATATTTTAAGATCAAATAACTTTAGTTTTACATTACTGTCAAATCTATTGGGAGTGTGTTAGTTATTGTTGTGCGGTGCAATTGTACAAATCTATTAAAAATAACTCTTGAGATTAACTGAATGTCTAGCTTTTTTACCCTTTCACCCCATATTCAAGATCAAAATCAAAATCTCTTTATTGTCCTTCAGCCTCTTAGGAGCAATCAAAAAAGTCAAATAAAATAGTATCTTATCACTTACACACTATTAAAACACACTAACATTTAAAAGTATATGAATTTACCATAGTATACATAACCCTAGTTTTTCTTAATTGGAAAAAAACTTGTACCTAAAACCTTCCTTCATGGTCAAAAGGTTATACAATGGAACTTATTAAAAAATTAATAAGTTAAGATGAAAAAACTTGGCAGGAAAAAATTGGACCATGGGTTCTATGTACAGTGGAGTTGAAATATTTACAATCAATGCTCCTTTCATCAGACTCTTTATTTGTGTTTTATTATCAAAATTGGTTTTAATGTATTTTTGTGTTTGTGTAAGGTAATGGTCCAGCATCAAATATAACCAAGTTGTTAAAAAGCATTAATTATCATTTAGTATCCCAATGAAAAATAGCCACTGGGGCCCGAAAAATGCCACTTAGGATTAAACGTGCACAGATGTGGCCAATATCCCAATCAATCATCAAAAACTTTCAAAAACCTGAGGTCTGGTACTACTATTCTCTGTACTTGTTATTTTTCCATGACTTCGTTGAAAAAAGAACTTATATATTTTATACTTATTTGTTAATTCACAAAAAAAATGTAGCCTACTGAAAAGTTAGGACAATTTTATCGTTCCTGCAAAAATGATTTTTAGACCAGCTAACTACAACATAAGCAGCCTGTCATATTGAGGTTGTACGTACCATAGAATAAAGAGTAAACTGCTGTTTAATCCAGCCTTTAATAGAAGGGTTTAATAGAATAAAAACAAGCACATTTTTAACATGCAGTCCGAAATATGCATGTTTTTATTTGGAAAATCTGCAACTTCTCCACTATTAGTTGTCCGATCATCATAATATTTATTATCAGAGTTAATGGGATCAAATTTTACAACTTATTTGTCTCTTGTAATTTTTTTTTTAATTTAAAGTTTAGATATTTAGCCATAAAAGCAAAAAACAGTCGCCATTTTAAAATGGTACAAAGTAGAAACTTGATAGGCTACTCAATACCGAAATACACATGCACATACCAAGTTTGAATTTAATACCACAGGAGGTTCGTAAGATATGATAAATTATGTAAAAAACAAAAACAAACACACAGATGGAAAACTAAGCACTTTAGGATACATGTCAACTTTTTTATTTTTTTACTTCTACAGTCATGTACTAAAATATTTTACTATAATTTCCAGACACCACCGTATGTATAAATACAATATGTACAAATGGTTGGAAGAGATGGTGTTTTTTACCTCTGGGGACATCAAAACAAAAAAGTAAATTGGTCCCGGGTCTTACCATGGGACCTAGGGTAATAGCTTATTACCTGTATAGGAAATTTGCTAAAAAGAGAGTTATATATTTTAAAATAGCTCACTCTCTGAGTGGGTCATTTTACTACAATTGCAGGGCATGACACACATTACATGATCAAGCAGCAGACAATTGGCTACAAGTGTTCTCTCGCATCACTAGCATTGTGGCATTCAAGGTATTGTAGAATTGGAATTATGTTTTAACAAGCTACGAGCTGTTGTCGATCGAGCGAGCAGTCAATTAAAACTGAATATAATTCTGAACAGCTAGTTTACATGTATGAAGACAAGTTCTGGCAATTTTAATGGGAAAAATCACAACGTAAACAAATGTCACATGACCACCTATTTCTTTCATCCGATTATAGGCTGATGCTATATGCATTTTATATCCGAAAATTTAATTTGACAATAAAACAGGAATTATGCCATTTTAAAATAACTTGAAGTGAGATTGGCGGCCGATTCACAAACATTGGTTGTAAGTACAGTAGCTACATACCACCTTCTATTGCTATCACTTACCGTACCTTATGTTACCTCCTTGGCCGCTGAAAATTTTAAGAGTATTCTGGTCTACCATTCTCTTCTATCCCTTGCCTCTTCTAATAGAGATCCCAGTCTGGAGATGTCTTTCATTAATTGGTCTTTTCACTTCATTCTTGATCTTCCAAGTGGTCATCTACCTTGTGGTACTCCTTGGAATACACTTCTAAAAGTCCTTCTTTCCACCACGCATAGCCTCTACCCACCCAAGCCTTTTACTTTTGGAAAGCACCTCTATATCTGGGTGTTTGTACATTTCTCTTGGCTCTCTGTTCTTCTGTATCTCAACCTCCGTTATCTTGAACTGGTCCGTATATTTTCTCTGCACTCTATTCTCAAACCCAGCAATAAGGTTTTTCGGTTCTATGGTCAGTGCCCGAGTTTCTGAACCATACAGTACTACTACTACTACTGGGATAGTTATGTTATGGTATGAATTGATTTTGGTTTCTACTGACAGCCTGCAGCTTATTGGACAGTTTTCTACGTAAAACACTTATTTCTGAAAACGATTAAGTGATAGTTTGCTGAAATAGTAGTTTACGCAACGATCTTATAAATATAGTGTGTTAACAACACGAGTAGAAAATTTAAGGTACGAGCCTTAGTGAGTGCCTTAAAATCTTCTACGAGTGTTCATAACACTATTAACGTGAGTTGCGTACACTACTTTACCTATGACCGGGTAATCACTTTACAAAACTTCTAAGAGAGGTTATGTTTTCGTTTAAAACCTCTCATTGCCACGGAAATTGATGCAACGACTCATTGTACCAATCACTAATTGCACCAGTCATTTACAATCAAATAGGTAAATAGCTGATTAGTTTAAGTTTGAAGCATTACAATTTTACTTCTTCTCTCTCGATCCTTGAACCTTATTGGTCCGTTAGTTACCCCTGTTGTTAAGTAAAACTATACTGTTATGTAAGTAAACAATGCTGTTATGTGGAACTTTTCAATTCTAAGAACTGAACTGAAACAGCTACTTAAAAAAACGGTCGTAGGTAATAGTATATTTCGTAACAAGAGTAGAAAGTGAGTCATTACATATTTGAGACCGTGGTTGAAGTGCAAGAATTATCAAGCACTTGGCGGAGAATATGTATAGACCCACTTTCACTTGTGTTTTGGACGTTACTTTTGGCTACACTACAAAGACTAATCATTTTCTTGAACAATACAAAACTCAAAGCATTTTTCAGGTTATACCATCAATATTTAAAACAGTTAATATTTCCTTTTTGATTGTACTCTACAGTTTTGGTTGTTGAAAATTAAAACAGTTGACAAAACAATAACAAATCTTTGTTTGTTTACGTCGAAAAAATCCAAAAAGATAGTAAACATTACTTTTGCATAGTAAACATTCTTTGGCCGTAGTAAATACGGCCAAAGGCTTTTACGGTAGGAATAAAACTAAATTGTAGAGTGAAATACAGTAATATTTAGTCAAACATTGATGACCAATATTTTCGTAAACAAATAACAATGACAGTTTAAAACCAGCTGTTAGTTAAACCAGCCCTGAAATGGCTTTGAACTGTTAGCGTCAACTGCTACACTAAAATAGTATATTACGTTACTAGTCCTGAAAATAAGTGTTTACCGGACGAGTGTGGTCGTTCCCGTGCGAGACGAAGTCGAGTACGGGATTACCATACGAGTCCGGTACACACATTTTGGACGAGTTACGTACGATAGTTTACGCCATACTACTTAATCCGTACAAATCCTTATATATTTCCACCAACTAAAGGACTAATAAACACTAGTCATAACCTCTGAGAGAGGTTATGTTTTTGTTTATAACCACTAATTGCCACGAAAATACAGTATAATCAGCTGATTGGTGTCCGGTAAAACTCATTGCAGAACAGTATTACGCAATGAAACCCCATTTGAATAAGCTGGCGGCAAACAGCTGTTTTCTGGACTAAATCCTTGCGTGGAAAGTTCATCAAAATAATGAAGTGTGGCGTAAAAAATTAAAACGTGATTTCTAAAAAACTAAAATTATGGCTTCAACATTCCCTTTCTTCCAATAGTATATTACGTTACTAGTCCTGAAAATAAGTGTTTACCGGACGAGTGTGGTCGTTCCCGTGCGAGACGAAGTCGAGTACGGGATTACCATACGAGTCCGGTACACATATTTTGGACGAGTTACGTACGATAGTTTACGCCATACTACTAAATCTGTACAAATCCTAACATATTTTCACCACCTAAAGGGCTAAAAATCACTAGTCATAGCCTCTATAAGAGAGGTTATGTTTTTGTTTATAACAATTCATTGCCATCTAAATATAGTATAATCAGCTGATTGGTGTCCGGGAAAACTCATTACAGTACAGTAGTACGCAATGAAACCCCATTTGAATAAGCTGGCGGCAAACAGCTGTTTTCTGGACTAAATCCTTGCGTGGGAAGTTCGTCAAAATAATGTAGTGTGGCGTAAAATTAATTTTCTTTCAACTCAAAAATTATTGAAAATCTGTCAGAATCGTAAAATAAGAAACCTGTCAAGTTTACCTTTATCCTATGTTATGTTTTATACCTTTATGTTAATCTAAGATTAAAGATCAATGTTTAATGGTGTCCTTACGTTGTTTGTGATAACTTATTGCAGACATTTTGTATCACCATTGGATTAGTAAAATATGCCTACCGCAGCAAACCTGCAGAATCAGCAAATTTCCATTTCCCCAAATAAATTTCCACTAAAATATTCCCTTAAAATCGTCAGATTTATTTCCTATTTAAATTATATTAATTATAAAATACTAAGGTTTGCTGATACAGAGATGGTGTAAAAATGAGGTGAGTATGAAATAAACAAAATTGCCAAATTTGATTAAAATATATCTATAAACAAGCAAACTAATAGTACAACGGTTTATTTACTCTCCTTACAAATAACATGGGAATTTTCCTTTGAATTTTGAATATATTTTCCCTGTAACCCTTAGGCATACAACAACGCTTCAATATACAACATTATTTCGTTTTTTAAGGTCTAAAAACTGGCTTAGAA